CCCAAACAATTCTATGATTCTAAGTGGTTAGTGTGGGACAGCCAGAGGTATTTGTGGATGGGAGAGTCCGAGAAGAGGCCGGAGAGGCCCTACAGATATTTAATTCATCAGCAGGACAGCCTTGAGCTGAGAAGCATCTGGCCACAGTGCTCCACAGCTTCCCGCCATGCTCCTCTTGCCCCAGAGTCTCCCCAGCAGCCCAGTCAGACCCCCCTGGGCAGCTCAGTCCCACACCACAGGGCCACGGGGCAGAGCACTTTCCCTGGTGACCACCAGCCTTCTCTCCAGCCCGTCGGGCCAAGCCACAACTCACCGCAAAGACGGAGTGAAGCTTCATGAGGGTGCGCTCGTGCCTCCCCACCGCGCACAGGGGCTTCAGCAGCCTGCTCTCAACGAAGAAACCCTTGGAGAAAAGCAGAGGGTACAGAGAAATAGCGGGCGTCTCTGTGCCTGCCCATGCCATGCTATGGCCGTGCCACCCTGCGACAGCAGCCTGAGTGAGAAGGGGGGCAGCGGGTGGGCAGCGTGAGGCTGGCAGAGCCAGGAGGCTCTGGAATAGCCACCCAACAGGCAGGGGGAAGAGACAGAGTCATCAGCACAGTGATGCCAAAAGGACCTCATGATCTGAAGCTCTTGCTAGCCCCAGAGATGGGGAGCAGCCAGAAGCATCAGATGCAGCAGGTTTACCTTTGCTTACCCTGGCCTGGCGAGATGTGGATTTGGGCAACGGGGCTGTGCCTGCCTTTCGTTAGCATCATATATGTGCCACGCACAGTGGGAAGACCTGGAGATCCCCTCCCAGCCCCTGGGGCAGCTCTCTGAAAACAGGCCGCTTGGCATAGCAAGGCAGTGCCACGCAGAAGCCTTCGGCCCAGGACGTGGAGCTTGGAAGAGACGTGGAGCAACCAGGGGACAACATGATTGCTCCCTGATCAGGGCACATGTTGCAGTGTCACGCACCGACTCGTCACTCAGGAGCTCCAGGATCCTCTTGGCAGTCGTCTTGGAGATACTTCGCAGAGGTGGGACTCTATCCCCAACCTTTGCTGTGTTTTCTTTTCTTCCTTCACTGCCCACTTCTCCCTTCTCCCTCTCTCTCCCTTCCTCCTCCTGCCCCCCAGAGCTGCCCTCTGAAACATGGAGAAAGAAGGGTGAGCAAAAGGCCTGTGCAAACATCATGAAGTTCAGTGAGTCCAAGTGCAAGGTCCTGCATGTGGATTGGGGCAATCCCAGCACAAGGACAGGCTGGGGGGGAATGGATTGGGAACAGCCCTGAGGAGAAGGCCTTCGGGGTGCTGGGGGCGAGGAGCTGGCCATGAGCCGGCCGTGTGCGCTGGCAGCCCCGAAAGCCAACCCCATCCTGGGCTGGATCCAGAGCAGCGTGGCCAGGGGGGCGAGGGAGGGGATTCTGCCCCTCTGCTCCGCTCTGGGGAGCGCCCCCTGCAGTTCTGCCTCCAGCTCTGGGCCCCCAACAGCAGAAGGACACGGAGCTGTTGGAGTGAGTCCAGAGGAGGCCCCGGAGATGCTCCGAGGGCTGGAGCCCCTCTGCCCTGGGGACAGGCTGGGAGAGTTGGGGGGTTCAGCCTGGAGAAGGGAAGCTCCGGGGAGACCTCAGAGCCCCTTCCAGTGCCTGGGGGGCTACAAGAAAGCTGGGGGGGACTTTTCCCAAGGGCAGGGAGTGACAGGACAAGGGGTAACGGGTTTAAACAGAAAGAGCTGAAATCACAGTTGTTTCCTGCGACCTGGAGAGCACTCCAAAGATCTTGGGACATGAGCTGGCTCTTGGCCAGCTTGTCTGGAACTGGAAGCTCTGGGCAAAGTACAGCGCAAAAATCCCCAAGGTGGCTTGGCACGAGCTCAGGGCTGGGGACAGCCCCCGCCTGCGCTCGCAGTGTCACCTTTGTAAGATCCCACCTTGCAAGGGCAAGGACAGGAATGATGGAAGGGGCTGTCGTGGAGGAGGGTCAGGGTCTCCCAGTGCCCCAAGGGTGACGAGGGCACCGTGCATCCCACCTGTCAGGACCTCCGCAGCCAGTTTGGTCGCCATCCTCTTTGCCTTGTAATGCCCGAGGGGGCCGACGTTGTCCAGGAACCAGTAATGAGGCTCTTCCCAGGGCAGCCCCAGTTGCTGGGTGTGAATGATGCGATCTGCATCCAGGGCTTTCCGCATCAGCCCTTTGGCTTCCTCCTCGTTCATAAGCCAGACCTCCGTGAACTTCTCAGCATTGCTGACAGCAAAGCGCCTGTGCAGAAGGGAGATGGTGCATTGAAGGAGGCTCCACGCCCCAAAACAACGAGCCAGCCTCCCCTGCACCTCACATAGGTGCTCCAAGGCCCTGTTACGGGTGGATGCCCACGCACACCCCACCTCATCCTCCTCTGCACCTCCTTGCACTGCTCCGTGATGTGCTCGCAGTCGGCTGCCAGGCTCTGGTTCTCCTCTCTGAAGTGCTTCTCTTGGTTGGCCAGTTTTGTTCTCAGGTTTTTGAGCAAGCTGTGGAGCCTGGGAAGGGACAGCAAAGCTGGGCATCCCCGAAGAGGCACCTTCGGGCATACCCAGCTTGTATGAAGGCTTTGGGACTTGGGGCTGCTTATCTACTAGTGACCATTCAATGCCAAGTCCTGACTGACTCTGATCCAGCTGGCACAGGTTGGGCATGCCCAGCCTATTCCAAGTGCTCTGGGGACAGCCCTGCCCTGGGCTCAGCCCAGGAATGGGTTGGGACAGGGCTCCTTGGCCTGTGCTGGGTGATGGGCTCCAGAAAAAATGGCATATGGGAAGTGATGGCAGGTGAGGCAGAATCCATCTTCCAGGGATGGATTTTTACCAGTTGAGCTTCTTCTTCTGCTGGGATCTGATGATCGTGTTCTCCTCATCCTGCTCCTTAAGCACCTGAAGGTTGTACTCCAGCTTCTCCTGGTTCAGCTGGTAGATGGCTTTCGTCTGCTGGAGGTGCCTCTCCAGGTTCTGGCATTTCAAAAAAACACAAAAACAGGCCGTGCCATGAGTGAAGGCCACACAGAGAGTCTGGATCCTACTGATCCTGCATCTCCAAACCCTGTCTTCCCACGCACATTCCCCCAGCTAACCCCTGGCCACCTGGCACCTCTCATGGGTGAGCAACGGCTGTCCAGAAGTACACGGGCCATGTCTGGGGAAAGGAGAATGGCCTGAAGCTGTACCCAACTTTCACTCAGTGCAGCACTGATCTGGGCCTCTCTCCTCAACTCAGCTGCTGATTTTCCTGTCAGTTTTAGGAACTGCAGTGTCTCTGAATTAACCAAGAGGCTCAGAAGTTACTTGGCGAGCTGGAGAAGGGACACACAGGAGGAGTGACCGCACAAACTCCAGGTCTTGAGGAAACCAGAACAAAACAAATAACTGAAGCATTTGGGATGGCAGCATCTCGCTGCGCAGCCCGGGAGGCAGGAGAGGGGCAGTGAGTTCTCCCCTGTGCTCCACAGCTGCAATGGAGGCGACATCTGCAATGGAGACATCTCTCTCGGCTTCCCAGCTCCCTGCTTGACAGCTGATGGAAAGGAAGACCCGCTTCCCAGGCTGATTGCATAGGAAGTGCCTGGAACTAAGCTGCTGCACGGCCTCAGATTACAGCATCAGCCACAGACTCTGCTGTGCACAGCAATCTGCCCAGCAGAGACACCCAGCGGGGTCTCCATCAGGGGGTTACTCTTGGTCCAGGGCAGTCTCTGGGGGCAGGTAGAGTCCCCAGGCTGTAGGCTAGAAGCAGGGAAGGCACTGGCAGCCAGGTTAGCTGGCTCAGACCTCTCCTGGGTAGCCCTAGGTATGACAGAGAGAGGACAAACAACCTGGGAAGACACCCAGAAGCGCTCCCACCCGGCTAGCATCAAAGCTTGACTGAAGAAAAGATGGAGGTAAACCCCAGCAGGGCCAAGGGACCTTCTCCTTGCAGCAGATGGGGGAAGACCACGGCCCAAACCCCACATTTTAAATGCTGATTCCCATCTTGTGAAACTGGGAGTACTCAGTGACCCCCAAACCACAAGCTTCAACTTTAGGTCTTGGCTAAGCTCCTCAGGACAACAATATTGCAGGTTAATCAGGAAAACAGGTGTCTCCAACTTCTTTTTCTTTATTTTCCCAGGAACTGGAAGGATGAAGTCTGTGCTATAGAGTTACACAGCTGCAGTACTAAAGGGAACCAGGACGATATTCACTTCATCCCTCTGCCCTACAGAGGGAACAGGTTCACCGAATCAGCCCCAGCAGAGTTGTGCTACTCCTAAAACCCTGCGCCGAAGAGCAGCAAACAGCACAGTCACTCTAGCTAACCATGAAGCAAGTCCTTGCCATTCCTACGCTTTCCTAGCTTGAAATTTCAACCCCGAATCTGAATGCCAATTTAACTCTTCTCTACCAAAACTGAACCCCATGATTTTTTCTTGCATCTACAGAGGACACAGAGAAGAAATCATTCTCCTCCTCCCTCATACAGAACTGTGTGTATTTGTGGACTTATCACCTCCCCACCGAAATCTCTTCCCTGGTATAAGCAACCCCAGCCTTTCAAACTTTTCTTATGGGTCATTTGGCTGCTTGGTCTGTTGTAGACTCTGTCCCTTGTTCCCGAGCATGTTGCCAAACCTGGACAAGGACACATAGGTACAAAGTAGAGAGGAGTAAATACCTCCCCTGCCTTATATATAAACCCTCCCACAACTACAGTTAAAGGCAGAAATTGCATTTTTACAGCAGTCCCACATTGCTGCCTGTGAACCTTGACCTCCAGCAAGCTGCTGTCTCCCTCCCTAAATGGCTCAGAGCTATCTGTGAATGTCACACGCTCTGTGTCACCTGCCAGGTTACCCATACAAAGCAGAAGAAACAGCAAAGTCAAGACTGATCTCCCTGGACATGTCCTTTCAGGCTAACAGGGACTTTGCCACAGTAGTGTTTCACCTGAAACTGTGTAAAACCTTCTAGATGTTGGCCCTTGTCTGTATTTCCCTGGGCTTCCTAGAGTCATAGAATGACCGAACGGTTTGGGTGGGAAGGGACATCAAAGCCCACCCAGTGCCACCCCCTGCCATGGGCAGGGACACCTTCCACTAGAGCAGGTTGCTCCAAGCCTCATCCAGCCTGGCCTTGGACACTCCCAGGGATGGGGCATCCACAGCTTCTCTGGGCAACCTGTCCCAGTGCCTCCCCACCCTCTCCAGAATGAATTCCTTCCTGATGTCCAATCTCCATCTTCCTCTTTCCATTTAAACCCGTTACCCCTTGTCCTGTAACTCCCTGCCCTTGGAAAAAGTCCCCCCCAGCTTTCTTGTCAGTCCCTTCAGGTACTGGAAGGTGCTATAAGCAATCAGAAGGCTGCTTCCTAGGAGGACATCCCAAGGGACAAACAATGAGCCTTCCTAAGGTCCAAGGCCCCATTTCTACCTTGCAGCCCAGGAGCAACACACGACAGCTCTCAGGGAAGGAGCGAGCAGAGTCTTTGCTGAGCAGAGGAGGCTGCGTAATGCTGGGCAGTGCCAAAGCAGAGAGCCCAGACCAGCACTGGGGCTGCCATCCAGCGGGATCGCAGAGGGGGCAGATGCACTGCTTTCCTGGCACCACTGCTCACAGAGAGTGCAGCGGACTAAAAGGCATCTGCATCTCAGGGAAGCCATGGCTACGAGGTTTGGATCTGCAGTAAGAGCCCCTAATCTTGTTCAGCCAGCCTGCCAGGGCTGTGCTTTTCGACTGCATGCCCTCCTAACCTGAGTCAGGGCCAACTCATGACAGTTGTCACACCAAGTGGGCTTCTTGGACATTAGAGAAATCACGGCTGTGTGGGTAGATGTCAGAGGAAAAACCTCACATTTCTGAGGACAGGGACCCTGACAAAGGAAGAAATTAGGTTTATCTGAAATGATCTGGTGTCAGGACACTCACACTCTTTGATCCTATCAATCATGCCATAAGTAGCAAACCCCTTAACCTTCCCAGGTGCTTCATACATCCTAAAGCTACAATTTATGTGCTACACACCTCTGAGAGCCAAGGGCAGATGGAAAGTGTGGGGTAGGACCTGTGGAGAGGAGAGGACAGCCCCCTCACCCTGCTGACACGAGGCTGGACCGTGCACGCTGAAGAGCAGAGGTGACCAGATACCAGCTGCAGTTTTCATAGCACCTACAGCCCCACAGAGCCAGCTACAGGCAGGAAGGAGCGAGATCTGCTGCCCACATGGAACAGCCCAGCCTCTTCTGTACCTGCACATCATTCTCCAGCTGGATCTCCATGCTGTTACACTCCTCCTCATCCTGCACCCGCAGCTGATTCAGATGTTTCTCAAACTCTTCCACCTTCCTCATGCGGGCGTGCAGGTATTCCAGCTACGGGCAGAGTAGAACATCATCCGTCAATGGTGACACCTTCCTCCCGTGCTCACGGCTCCCTTGGCTAGCCCAAATCAAGGTCATGCATGGACAATTCCATGAGGAGCAGGCTAAAAAACTGCCCCTCTGCCCCCCAAACTACTGAGCCAGCTGCCTTCATGCACGCGGGTCTTTAAGGCAGCCCAGTGCTGGAGAGCAGGAACACTTCTGGCAGCCTTTGGCCCCTCACGGCAAGAAAGACCCTGAGGGGCTGGAGCGTGTGTGGAGAAGGGAACGGAGCTGGGGAAGGGGCTGGAGCCACATTCCTGGTGGGAGCGGCGCAG